ATCAAATCCCAACAGAAGCAGGATCTCTCAGTGACTTGGTGCCACAATCTATTCATTCAAATGTTCTTTTCAAGAGAAAGTCACCCATGCTTAATACCTAAAAAATTATATGTCATGGGCAACACTATGAGTTAATCATGATCTAGGCCGGATGCCAGTGAGTAATTCATAACCCAGGCTTTGATCTGTTCATCTTAAGTGTCACTAATTAAAACTGATTTTTGCTTTGTAGAAACTTGAAGGAAGAAGTTCATTTGCTACTGACTGGAGAAATTATGATTTTATTTTGTCAAACAATTTTTAAATAATTTAGTTCAATATGACCATCATAGGAAACAGCCTTTATTTTATTTTATTTTACTTTATTTTATTTTATTATTTTATTTGGTGTGTAGCTGAATACAAAGCTTGAGAAGAACATACAGCGATAAACAATTAATCAGTGGAACAACCTGCCTCCAGAAGCGGTGAATGCTCCAACACTGGAAGCTTTTAAGGAGAGACTGGACAGCCATTTGTCTCAAATGGTATAGGGTTTCCTGTCTGAGCAGGGGGTTGGACTAGATGACCTCCAAGGTCCTTTCCAACTTTGTTGTTGTTGTTGTTATCCATTTCAAAATTTTATCATATATCCAAAACAATTTAGTTTATAGCAACAATTTGGAGAGCAATTCTAAAACCACAATGTGATCAACACACTCAAGTAAGTAGAACAAAATTAAAACTTCTAATAGGTGGAAGTTTTAATCCTAACACAATTGAAGACTACCAGATTGGTGAAAATTGTCTGTCTTACTATAATATGGATACTATGTCAGTGATTTAATATTATCTTCTGTAAACAATAATGTAGCACATCCCTTATTGGGTAATCAATAGCGCTTTGCACATAAAGTATGGATAGTATATTAATACTATCTCTTTCACTGCAAGTAGCTGGAATGAAAAATGCCCATGTTTTATATTTTGCTAACTAGAAAATTCATTATGCATAACCTATTCCATTTTTTCCTGATCTACCAATATTTGCCTCTGATCTTAATTTTTCCAAAATCAAATAGTTCCAAGCTGTAGCCTGACATTCTGCCATTATAGGGTTTCTTGATTATCCAAAGTTAGCAATACCAAATCAGTAATACAGCAAAATAATTGTTTTTGCCAACAGGACTATTTATATCTTTGAAATGTTGAAATACAACATTTGATTTATTTTCTCTCAAGAGAAAAACAAATGCTATTTTATATTAACCTATCCCTTAAATCAGAAGGAGTAATTTTATTCCCCGTGTGTCTTGTTCAGTTTTAAAAATAACGGAGCTAATTTCCTACAAGTTGCTATATTTGTTAAATCTAAGGTGGCCAAAAAATCTGGCGTCTGATAGCACCATTTCCAATCGCAGAGACTGGCTAGACCAGGGGTAGGCAACCTTGGCTCTTTTATGACTCGTGGACTTCAACTCCCAGAATTCCTGAGCCAGCATGGCTCAGCTTGGAAACTCCCTTTTCCCTCAGTGTGGCTGGCTCAGGAATTCTGGGAGTTGAAGTCCACGAGTCATAAAAGAGCCAAGGTTGCCCACCTGTGGGCTAGACTGATGGAGATTTATACTGAGATGAATTGTGGGGAGAAAAGGGAGAGGTAGAATTGTAAGATACATGCCAATAAGGAATATTATACTCATCATAGTCAAAATCAGATAACTGAGGAAGCTATTCCAACATAACCTTGCTTGCTATGGACAGCAACAGCTCAGATGTTAATGCTGAATGATTGCTTATTATCCCAGTAAAGGCTTTTTTATCCAGGTAGTCCTCAATTTGTTTAGACAGCACTGAAAAAAGTGATGTACGACCCAGCCTCAAAGTTACGATTGTCACATCAACCCCATTGTCACATGCTCAAAATTTGGGTGCTTGGCAACCACTACGATGGTTGCAGCATCCTGCAATCACATGACTGCAATTTGCAACCTTCCCAGTCAGCTTCTGACAATCGAAGTCAATGAGGAAGCTGGCAGGGAAAGTCATAAACTGCAATCACATGTCTTACTGAATGGCCCCAGCGATTCGCTTAATGACTGCAGCAAAAAGGTTGTAAAATCAGAGGCCTCAATTAATGACCGTGCAGCTTAACTGTGAATTTTCCGGTTCCAATTGTAGTTGTAAGTTGAGGACTACCTGTATCTTATTATAATAATTGTTTCTAAAATTCCACTTATAGAAAAAAATGAGAGATTGTGGGGGACATGCACACTTCTTCATTTTTCCATTTCACTATTTTTATACTCTTTATGTGGTCTTTTTCAAGGAATTTATATCAGCAATTACATAAAAACATACATATGCACAATGGAATTGGATATCCTTCTCTCCCTCTTGCTGATGAAATTCCACACTGTACACTCACTCATATGCTCCTCACTTTGTCAAAACTGATGCAGCCATTGGTAGGAAAGATACAATGTCTGTCTGTCTGTCTATCTGTCTGTCTGTCTCTCTCTCTCTCTCTCTCTCTCTGTGTATATGTATGTGTATAAAATAGGAATTGTTTTAAGTATAAAATATAATTAGCTTGTATGCAAATTATATGTTAAGCTTTAGAACATTACAGATTAAAATATACACTATCATTAAATAAAATGTACTTTTTTCAATTATATAATATAATGCTCACATTATCAGGTAAGCATGTGAGGAATTCATAAATGTTTCAGTTACTTTCATTACTGTCAATTAACAGAGGGCCTTTCTTTTTTTATGCATAACTCAAAGCTGGGGACTGTCATTCATGATCTTGTAGCTTTAGCTCTTTAGAGGTGATTTGAATCCTTTGCTAGAGATCTTATTTTGCTTTGTGGAACCACAGTATCTAGCCAAAGAGGCTGATTTGACTCATTTTCCATCCCCAACGTACACCCAAATTTACTACCCACTGATCATCAACGTAGAAAGAAAAAGGCTCTCGCTAGGTTATTGCAGCATTTGGAATGAAATTCTATCATTTCATTTCATGTAAAGCCAACCTCAAGTTGACTTTATCTACATATTGTTTTATGGCAACAATATGGATTTCCTATTGCCTTCTGAAATATTTTTCAACTTTTTATTCAAGTCTATAGCCCAAATGTTTCTTGGTGACCTTAATCCAAACCCTTTATCAAGTGCAACACTATTTACTCTTTTGGAGATCAGTTAAGATAGACTGTGTACTGCCTCCAGCAATAGACATTATTTCAGCTATGTAGCCTAAGAATCTGCCTTTGGAAGAAGATCAGCAATGGTATTGATTTTAAAAGGAAATGGAGAATGTTTGGGCAACCCTAAACAGCCCATCAACTATTTAAAAGTTTGTGGCTGAGTTCTCTTATGATTTTTCTTTCCAGTCCCTTTGCCTTCTCTCTTGTAAGGTCTCTTTTGTTTTGATCACTCTGACGTTTTTTGCACTGAAGAGTATAACTGTTTTAAACAAAGAAACAAACAGAAGAACACAAACCAGACACAGGAAAAATAATTATGGACTTGCAATATGTCAATATAAAAGGTACAATGTAGATCTGCTTGTTCCCAGATCCTGCCAGATTCCACCAGCGCAATTTAACTACAATACCATCTCTAGGAATTAGCTAACAGCAGAATCTTCAGGTACTGAGCATAGTTACATCAAAGCTACATTTGTAATATGTAAAGATCAATTATTACAGAATATGGGAATCTCTCTCTGTGTGTGTACGTGCACATGCACATGTGCATATGTAAAAGACAATATGAAGTGTGCCTCCAGGGTTTAAAATGTATTTATCAAATTCATATAGCCATGAGAGGGAAGAGGTCACATGGGCATGATTGAACCAAAACATTAGCCACCCTCTCAAGGTGAGCTTTATCTGGCCCAGTCACAATAATATTTTTCCTAATTTTTCCCCAAACAGGAATCTGGAGAACACCTGCACTATGTTAAGAACATGAACTTGTCTACTCTGAGATTCTTTGATTCCCACTTTGTCATTCTAAGTTCTTCCACTCTCTACAAAACTGATTAAACTTTGGGATGTTGTCTAGCTTGTTCAGCCCAATTTGTGCAAAGCAGCTGTTATCGTGCTCTGATGTACCTTCAAGAACAGCAAGAGACACTTCAGTGCAACAATAGAATAGAACAGAACAGAACAGTGGTGACGAACCTATGGCATGCATCCAGAGGCAGCACTCGGAGTCCTCTTTGTGGGCACGCATGCTGTCACCCCAGCCCCACCTCCCCCCGCAGCCCCTTCCTCACCAGCAGCCCTCCTGGAGGAGAGTCACCCCTGGGCGTGGCCCGCATGGAGCTGCGCAGCCAAGCACATGGCAGCCAAGCAGCAGGGACAAGATTTCGCCCTTGCAACACATCGCTCACAGATGATGCTGCGGGGCGCGGGTGGAGGGCGTGGCCAACATGGTGCTGCAGGGCTGCCTGGGCGATCTGCTGCAGTGGGCTATGGAAGCAGTGAGTGGCCCTGTGGGCAGGCAGGGGCAGAGCAGGCGACGGGGCAGTTTTTGGGCACTCGGTCTCTAAAAGGTTCGCCATCGCTGGAATAGAATAATCTTTATTGGCATTGTGTATCTCACAACGAAATTAAGTGCTGTCCACAGTGCACACTATACACAAATAAAAATCACAAGTAAAAACATACATTATATACACACATCCTTCACATTCTATTCACCAAGCTTTCTGCATTGTAGTCAGAGTGCCTTCAGAGGAATTCTAGCTTGCCCTTATAAGTAATTGGGCTAATCCAAAATTCCCAGGCTTGTTTGTTGATTGAAAGAAGGTAGTCAATGGGAGGCTGGTCAGGAGCCCAGACAGGGAGTAAGAGGGGAGGGGAAAATGTTTTGGTGCCAGGATGAAGGCAGACAAGAATCAGTATTTAGATGGATGCTTTCAGATACACACCTTACCATCAGATAAAAAGATTATATACTTTTTTTAAAAATGAGAAGTGCCAAGAAAAATGGCTTGTACTTACATTTCAGTGGCTATGAATCCAGTGAGCTCAGACAGGAATAGAAACAATATAAAGAAACAGCAGCAAATAGAAACTGGAAAAGAAATGGGTGAATAAAAGTTAAATTCACTCCTCCCTCAAAAATCTAAAAGTCCCCCCCCCCCAACCAGCCTGATTCCATAGTGGCATTGTTATCACTCAACTGTTTGAATGCTACTAGAGTCTTTTTTTAAAAATATTTCCTAACTCTTCCAACCTAGATCTCAATTTTTCTTCTATATTTAAATATTGCTTTGCTGTATGGAAATACTTCCCCAAACCCCAATGTATATAAAAATCAAAACTAAGGATTTTTCCCACCTCCAGAATCCCCAAGGCTGATAGAAATCATTCTCCTACTAGTATAGTTAAGTATTAAAAGCAATGTTAACAGGAGTCTTACGTTGGCTGCATGAAAAATGCACTCTCAGATAATTTAGAACTACATTCCGGCACCCAAAGAAACATGAATAAAAAGCCCTTTTTAAACATTCTACTATAAACAGATTTAAAATAGTATATTATATAAACAGACTAAAAATAGACAATCATCAGGATAATAAAAGACAGATGCTTAATCCATGAAATCAGCACTAAGAAATATTAACTCTAAGATGTTCTTATTTAGCTATTCAACTTTCTCCATCCTGGATATTCTTAATATGAATCAAAAGTTATTCCATTTTTCCTTACAACCACCTTTTATAATGTAAAGATTAAAATAAAACAGAAAACATGATTGCTAAGTGAGCAAAGAGCTAAAGTCAAGTTCATATACTATTCTCTGCCCACTGCAATTGTCTTACCTATTTCTTTTACAATTCTTTGTCTCAAAAAAGTAGAACTTGCTCCATTTAGAGCACTCTTATTTCTAACCAACCTTGTTTTCTGTTTGAAAGGGCTAAACCAAAAGTCCTTATTATTTGTTATTTATTTATTAAACAAATTTATATGAGCATCACCACAATGTGAATGACAGGCACAAAAAATGAGACACCAGAGGATGCAATATAGATAGACATCCAACCCCAAAAGGGTGAGAGAGAACTAATCTGCCCTCAGGGAGATATTTGCACTCTTCCAGGTAATTTTTGCCAATTTCCTTTGCTTCCTATTGCTGCAGCTGTCCCATTAGAAAAATGTCTTTGCTGCAAAAAGAATATTTTTGTTTTCATAATGTATAGATGTTTTCATCAAAATTATCCCAAGAGGGTTTCCATTAACATCATTAAAAGTAACAAAACAATAAAACTGATCAGCCAGGCAAAGGTGAAATAGTACAGGAACCACTTGGTATTTATAGTAATTAAGATATTAAAATAGTTAATCAAAAAGTCTAGAGAAATACAAAGAATTGTTCTTGCTGGTTCCTAAGAGGTAACATGGAATATGCTACACCATGCTACATTGGTGAGTGAATTCCAGAAATGAGACATCATAACTATTTCAGTAGTGGACAAGTAAGCAAAAAGCTTGGGAGATGGACATGGTGATAGGAAACCAGTTCTGAAAATATATAAACCAAAGAAATAGTCCTGCTGTTCAGATGTATAACCAATGCATTTTTCTTTGGACATCAAGATGACTAACAGAAGCAAGAGATCAGAACAAAACACTTTTTCTAATCCATGTTTTCTATCAACTGGAATTGAGAGACATGTATACTCCCTTGATGTTGAAACAAGCATGTAAAACTTTGATAGATGATACTGAGTGATACAGGCCTATTAATACCAGCTTTTGAACTGAGTTACAATGGAAACACTGTGATTCTAAGCCAATTTTGATTAAGTTTACATTTTTTATTATTTACTTGTTTTTCACATTTCTGAACCACCCATCTCCCTCAAAGAGGGACTGGGCAGTGTACAATAAAAAGTCAAAATATACAGTGAGGGAAAAAAGTATTTGATCTCCCGCTGATTTTGTACCCTTGCCCACTGACAAAGAAATGATCAGTCTATAATTTTAATGGTAAGTTTATTTTAACAGTGAGAGACAAAATAACAACAACAAATCCAGAAAAATGCATTTCAAAAAAGTTATAAATTGCATTTTAATGAGTGAAATAAGTATTTGACCCTCTATAAATCAGCAAGATTTCTGGCTCCTAGGTGTCTTTTATACAGGTAACGAGCTGAGATTAGGAGCACTCTCTTAAAGGGAGTGCTCCTAATCTCAGCTTGTTACCTGTATCAAAGACACCTGTCCACAGAAGCAATCAATCAATCAGATTCCAATCTTTCCACCATGACCAAGATCAAAGAGCTGTCCAAGGATGTCAGGGACAAGACTGTAGACCTATACAAGGCTGGAATGGGCTGCAAGATTATCACAAAGCAGCTTGGTGACAAGGTGACAACAGTTGGTGCGATTATTCACAAATGGAAAAGCACAAAATAACTGTCAATCTTCCTGGGGCTCCATGCAAGATCTCACCTCGTGGAGTTTCAATGATCATGAGAATGGTGAGGAATCAGCTCAGAACTACATGGCAGGATCTTGTCAATGATCTCATGGCAACTGGAACCATAGTCACCAAGAAAACAATTGGTAACACACTACACTGTGAAGGACTGAAATCCTACAGTGCCTGCAAGGTCTCCCTGCTCAAGAAAGCACTTATACAGGCCCATCTAAGTATGCCAATGAACATCTGAATGTTTCAGAGGAGAACTGAGTGAAAGTGTTGTGGTCAGTTGAGAAAAAAATCGAGCTCTTTGGCATCAACTCAACTCAGCATGTTAGGAGGAGGAATGCTGCCTGTGACCCCAAGAACACCATCCCCACAGTCAAACATGGAGATGGAAACATTATGCTTTGGGGGTGTTTTTCTGCTAAGGGGACAGGACAACTTCACCGCATCAAAGGGAGGATGGACGGGGCCATGTACCATCAAATCTTGGGTGAGAACCTCCTTCCCTCAGCCAGGGCGTTGAAAATGGGTTAATAGTAATAGTAATAATAGTAATAATGATAATAATAAAGTTGGAAGGGACCTTGGAAGTCATCTGGTCCAACCCCCTGCTGAGGCAGGAAACCCCATACCATTTCGGACAAATGGCTGTCCAGTCTCTTCTTAAAAACTTCCAGTGTTGGAGCATGCACCGCTTCTGGAAGCAGGTTGTTCCACTGGTTAATTGTCCTAACTATCAGGAAGTTTCTCCTTAGTTCTAGGTTGTTTCTCTCCTTGATTAGTTTCCATCCATTGCTTCTTGTCCTGCCTTCAGGCGCCTTGGAAAATAGCTTGACTCCCTCTTCTTTCTGGCAACCCCTGAGATATTGGAATACTGCTATCATGTCCCCCCTCATCCTTCTCTTCATTAAACTAGACATACCCAATTCCAGCAGCCGTTCCTTATATGCTTTAGCCTCCAGTCCCCTAATCATCTTTGTTGCTCTTCTCTATATTCTTTCTAGAGTCTCAACATCTTTTTTACATTGTGGTGACCAAAACTGGATGCAGTATTCCAAGTGTGGCCTTACCAAGGCATTGTAAAGTGGTATTAATACTTCACGTGATCTTGATTCTATCTCAAAAAGAAGCACATTAAGGTCCTGGAGTGGCCTAGCCAGTGTCCAGACCTTAATCCCATAGAAAATCTGTGGAGGGAGCTGAAGGTTCAAGCTGTCAAACGTCAGCCTCGAAACCTTAATGACTTGGAGATGATCTGCAAAGAGGAGTTGGACAAAATCCCTCCTGAGATGTGTGCAAACCTGGTGGCCAACTACAAGAAATGTCTGACCTCTGTGACTGCCAACAAGGGTTTTGCCACCAAGTACTAAGTCATGTTTTGCGAAGGGGTCAAATACTTATTTCACTCATTAAAATGCAAATCAATTTATAACTTTTTTGAAATGCATTTTTCTGGATTTTTTTATTGTTATTCTAACTAAACCTACCATTAAAATTATAGACTGATCATTTCTTCGTCAGTGGGCAAACAAAATCAACAGGGAATGAAGTAATTTTTTCCCTCACAATATAAAATTAAAATGTTTAGAATTAAAATTTTAAAAGGAAAACACAGTGAAACATTAGTGAAAAGTTATTTAAAAATCCGAAGAGAAGGCTCTTATGGCACCAACCAGCCCCACAATTCCATGCTCCTTTGAGCTCCCTATTCAAGACCCCTAAACCATCTTTTAACTCCTTTTTAGAAGGCCAAAAGAGTCGTGGTCTGCCTTACCTCCAGGGACAGAATGTTGCATGGGACAGAGACAATGGCAGCAAAGGCTCTCTTCCTAGACACCACCAGTTGGATTTCTTTAACTGTCTGGGTCTGCAACCTACCATCCCTGCCTGACCGGGGGATGGTAGGTTGCAGGCAGGCAAATGCTCACACTATGCAGCGGGAGGCGAGGATTTCTTGAACATGCCTCAGCAACTAATGAAGCTCTAGGTGCTATTTTTTTCCACAAAATTAAGCAGTAAAAAATGAGACTAGATTCTTTCTCTGTATCACAGTTCTTCCCAAGTTAGTATTATAAAGATCACTACAATTTTCCTTTAATTGTATTTGTCTACAGTTGGATTTAATAAACACTTTTTGCTGAGAAGGAAGCTGAAAATCTCTGGGGTTCTTACCAGCGTTGGTGTTCTATTAGACATCTCTCTATATAGCCAATTTGGTGTATGGTTAAGGCACCAGTCTAGAAACCAGGAGGCTGTGAGTTCTAGTCCCACCTTAGGCATGAACGCCTACTTGGTGATTTAGGGCCAATCACTCTCTTTCTCAGGCCAATTCACCTCACAAGGTTGTTGTGGTGGTAGGAGTAGGAAGGAGTATTAAGTTGTTCACTGCCTTGAGTTATTATTACGGTGGGATGAACAAAATCTTTTTAAAAATACCTCCATATGTTTCAAAACAGTCACTGAACAATGACTGTGAATGAAGGAAGCAGACTCAAATGAAAGCAATGAGGATGTGGCAAAATCCGTATGTGTTAATCTAAGTGAAAGAGGCAGAGATGATATTTATTGATGAATTAAAGCAAACATTCTCCACATATTGACTCCATTCTGAATCACCATGGAATAGGCAAAGAAGAAATGCTTCAAGCCACAGTACTGAGGGAGGGGAACATCTAAACACCATGTGACTTTATTCATTCTTCAGACACAATGCCAGGACATTCCAATATCCATCTTCATCACCACAAGGTCTTGCCGCTGAAGTGTTCTCTGTATTGCAGCAGCCCTTTTTAAATCATTATGGAACATTTGTCTTAAAAATAATCAGATTAAGAAAGAAGCACAATTTTAAATGAACTGTGCATCAATATTGTCCTCCATGCATTTACTCAATGGTTGTTAGAGACCAGAAGCAAGTTGCTGGGTTCGTTTACATAGCACATAGCCATAGCCATTCCCATCCTGGAGCTTGAAAGAACTCCTATTATTCTAAATCTTATTGTTCCAACAACATGCCCTCACTGTAATTCCAGAAAACATCTATGTTGTGCTCCTGTCTGTAAGGCTATACCATGCATTGCTGTAAGGGCTATGATAAGAGATTTTAACTGGGTGAAATTCAAATGTCTCTTTAGCAAATATTGGCAATAGTTGTCATACAAAATGGGTGTCAGGGTAGTGCCATACAGCTTTTGACCACTCTGTTTTGTGTATGCTTATCGGGATACATCAAAATACAATAAATAAGATGGCTGTGAGAGTTCCAATCTTCCTTGTATGTAGAGTACTTGTGAATACAGAGGAAGTCCCTGGGTCAACTCTCCATGCACAGAGGAAGACTCCTAGACCACTTATTTCACAGTATGTCATGCATGGAACTGGAGAGGCAGGTTTGTAATGTTTGTCTATAGGGTGCTTTGAGTTGCATGACCTCTTGATTCAGGCAGCAACCACTTTTAGGTCAATTGGTCTACCCATCCATTAGAAAAAAAAATTAATTGGAGGCATATTCATAATTGTTACAGCCACAGCCAAGAGCCTTTAATAAACCTGAGATAAGAAACAGTATTGTAATGGGTGGTATATATTCTATGAATTTCTATTTAAATGGAAATCACACCATTTAAACCAAGAAAAATACATGATACATGATAGCAACTTAATAATTCTCACAAGCCAATCACCCATAAATGCTAGGAAATACAAGAGTCAGAATGTAACATTTTTTGTCATGAATGGTCTGTTCCGGGAACTAAATGCCTGATAAAGTATGTCACTCTTCCACAAATTATTCTGTGGTAAAACATTTGGAACTAACACCCCTTTAAAAGAATCCAGTTGAATAGGATCAAAGTGTGAGAGTTCTTTCAGCCAGAGAATGACTGTGCTGATATTATAGATGATTTAAAGAAATCAGAATGTTATCAAGCTTGAGGCAGAAGTGATGGAAAGGAAGAAAAGTTGTTTTAAGTACTTGACAAACCACCCAAAGAAGGGAAAAGGCATATGGAGACACTTTGCTAAGAATGTATCCATGTACCTGAATAAAGGCACAGACTGTTTCAAGCTAGTTTGGAAAAAGCATTAGATTGCACAAACTGATTTATCAAGGTCTTCCCACACCTAGGATTAGAAAGATTGGGATGACAGCTCTTGACCCAGAATTTTAAAAAAAGGAGATGCTGTGTCATCTCCAAAGGAAATTTAGCCAAATCCTATGTACTGTAATAATACAAGAATCTGCTTGATTCTACTAGTAGGCATTTTATCCTACGCCCACTGACTATTCTTGCTGTATCTGTTCTCTCTTATTTTAATATAATTTCATTATACCAACATGTACTGAGATTTGTTCATCCAAATTTTTTAATCTGTTTATTTTATTTATTAGATTATTGTGCCAGTTCTTTTTCTCAGAACTGTACTACCAATATCATCCTTTTTTTCTTACTTTTGTTGACATGCTACATCGCATCCTGGAAAATCCTTAACTCCATCTTTCTTTAAACAAAAGTCATGCATTTTAATAAAAATATTTTTGTAGGGAAAAAAAGCAAACTAGATGCAAAGGGATAATTTTAGCCCACCCAGAATGTTAGAGGAATGGAGTCAATTGCTTGAAACAATGAAGCACAGTAAGCTAAAGAAAGGAAAAGCTGAGTTCAGCTTCTCCTTCCTGGTGTAAGGAACAGGTTTCCTTTTCCCAGCCTATAAATAAACACAACTATTTTTATGTTGGAACAAGAAGGTTAGCTATATGAATATTTATGCCAGATACATCCAGAACTCTCAGTCAGTAAAGCAGGCTGAGAATCCTAGATGTTTCCTTCCTTCCTTCCTTCCTTCCTTCCTTCCTTCCTTCCTTCCTTCCTTCCTTCCTGCCTGCCTTCCTTCCTTCCTTCCTTCCTTCCTTCCTTCCTTCCTTCCTTCCTTCCTTCCTTCCTTCCTTCCTTCCTTCCTTCCTTCCTTCCTTCCTTCCTTCCTTATCATTCTGTCATTATTTCCCTTCCCTTCCCTCTTTGTCATTCTGTCATTATCTTCCTCCCTCCTCCTTCAATTTCCTGCCAGCTTCCCCATGTACTTTGTTTAAAGGAAGGAAGTTGTTGGGGAAGCCACCGGAAGTTTCAAGTCCAGCAGGCAGGTAAATGGCTGCTGCCGGGTGGGGAGAGAGTGGGGGGGTGTCTGTGGAGTGCAGGCAAAAAATAGTACATGAGGTGAACGACAGGTTTCGTAACACTTGGGAAGAGTACCTGGAGATGCATGAGAGTTGCTATGCAGAGTGTGTAGGGGCACAGGATAGGGCACACGTCACGAAATGCTTGTGGGGGTTGCAGAGGTGCCATGCCAATCAGGAATGACCTATGGGAAGGATGCCAGGGAGTGCTTAAGAGTGTGCAAGAGGTGCCTTACATGGACAGCACACGAGGGAATGGCAGCATAGATCAGGAAGGGTGTGGGGGAGGGTGCCCAAGAAGTAACACATGGGTGAGAGAAGATGCACAAAAGAGAAATGTGCGTGGGCTGCCCACGAGATGATGCAGAGATCAGGGAAGGCATGCAGGGGGCAGTGCAAATCAGGGAGGGTTGGCAGAAGTGTGCAAGGAGTCGGGGAAGCACGTGCAGGGGGGTGGCATTGACCTGAAAGAGTGCATGAGGGTTCCTTCCTTCTCCCTTTCTCCCCTTTCCTTTCCAGCAGGCACGTAAATGGTTGCTGCTGGGTGGGAAATGGAATGAGACGTTGTGAGTCTGACTGAGAAACTGTCACACTGAAAATGAAGACCACATGACTGCAGCAGCAGCAGCAGCCAGTACCACTGAAACAGCCACAACTTTCCAAATTTCATTCCCTCAGGAGTCAGTGGTCCCAGATTTTGGACACATTCTGCAAATTAGCTCATTTGAAGTACCCTGGTTTAAAAATGGTCGCCCTTTGATGCACTCTTTTTGCTCAGTTAAAAGTCATGACAGTGAATTTTAATAGTATATAGATAGTATACCTCCTCAAATGGTGGCAATGGATCAGCCATAACAGATCAGGGATTCCAAGGGTGTCATCTAACCCAACTAGCTATAATGGAACTTGGAGACCCTGATTCTACACTCCTGTACCCCAATCCAAAAATTAAGAGAGGAAAGGCTTAAATAGAGAGAGCAAGATGCTCTCTATGGTGCATAGAAGGGGTTGGGCACCTAAAATAATACAAAGTTTTTCAATAAATTATATTTTTAATGTAAATTGTTCCACTTAGCATTATTACAAAAATATCTTGGTCCATTAGGAATATAAACCATACATTATTAATGTCATAAATCACACATTTTCCATTTGCATCTAGAATCCTCTGTCTTCAAAGCTTTACAATATTTTTGCACAATGTTGTCATGAATATATACAGTTCATCCAGAAGAGCTGGGGAGTGACAGAGCAGCTGTCTGGAGTGTTTTCCTATCAATATGTCATTTAGTTTGTGCCATGGGTTGTTAGCTATCATATGCCACAGCATATGTCACGGCAACCTTATCCAAACATGGGCAGTTTGGCATGATGATAGACAGTAAGCTTGGAACAGCTATTGGTAGACACTTTACAGTACAATCCAAAACCATCCATCAGCTGACATAAACTGATTTAATACACCTTATTTTTAGAAAAGATATTTAATAAATTACCCGGAATCATTTGAAAGGTTATGTAAATTTTGTTCAAGCCAAGAACTGTAGATTTAGATCACCTTTTTAATGAATAGCTCTACATCTTCAGACAAATAATGAAAAAGGAATGTAGATATAATTCATTGATACAGGTAAGCCAAGATTTTTCTGTGAAACCTTGAATGATCCACTGCCTGGCAAGACTGTAGACAATGCCAATATAGTAGATTTACTATACTGAGTAGCCTTACTCAGTGAAATACAGTGGGCATGTATGCAAAAAATATATATATTCAACCAAAAGACAGTAAGAAGGAATTTTTTAAGGACAGGATAGAACAATTAAAATTTAGATTGCTAAGGCTTCAAATGTTTAATGGGGAGATAGATTTAATGACAACAAATGACAACAGATAGAACAATTGAATTGGCAATGAAGATATCAAAGTGGTGGATAGCTTCTGCCTTTTAGGATCAATTATGAACTGTAAAGGAACAAGCAGTCAAGAAATAGTAAACTGAAGATTAGCACTTAGTAGAGCAGCATAATGGCCTTGGAAAAGATAATTGAATGCTGAGGTGTGTCTATACCTACAAAAATTGTGCAATCGTAGTATTCTCTATGATATTCTTCAGAGGTGAAAAGTGGACCTTGAAGAAGCAGGCTGGATTTAATTACAATAGAAATGGGTGCAATCTTGATAGACCTGAAAAACTAGGTTAGGGACAGATTGTCATGGAGAAGATCTATGCAATCACTAGAAATTGAAAACAACTATGGCACATAATCAATAGCAGTTAATGCACCTTATATCTGGAGCATGAATGAATTCATCTTTCTGAATACTCATGCATTCAAAGAGATGCAACACATAAAATCCTTCATAACTTTAAAGTAGTTCTGGTAGTCCTTCATTTACAACAGCAGTAGGGATCGTAATTTCAGTAGCTAAGTGATGCAGTTGTAAAATGCGACCACATCATTTAGCAACAACAGTCCCCACAGTTTAACACCATCACAATTCCATATATGGTGTAACTTGAAAAATCTTACATTACGAATGTGGTTTGCTTATGGAGTAGTTGTGCAACTTGTTTAACATGTATTTGAAGACTGCATATATGCCTGATAATTGAATAAATGTTCCCTACACAAAGAGAAAGGGAGCAAGAGTAAGTGCAAAAACTACCAGTTCAGATGTTATTTGCATAGTGCAACAAGTGCAGGAGAATTTATTTATAAATTGTGCACATGAAGATGACTGTTAGAATTCTGTTTGAAAAAGTATAAGGTGTGTCAATAAGCATAATTTTAGAAGCACACTGAAGATTTATGAGGGACGGGGATATACAGACCATTTTGTTCTTCACTGAGAAATGTATCCATGTTCAAAAGAAAATTCTGTTGTCATTTGTTGATTTTAGAAAGTATATCATAAAATGAATAGGTTTGAATTATGGACTTTTTTGTGCAAATAAGGAGTTGAAGACTGATTACTAAATAAGCTAAGAATAGCTTATGATGAAACTAAAACGTGAGACTAAATGGAACACTTAGAAAATGGTTCAACATACTGAAGAATGAAAGAGAAGACAGGTAATGTCACTTGCTTGTTTAATGTGTTTATGAATACATCGAAAAGGAACATTTTGCTCATATTAGGGATGTATTGATCCATGTATACTTAGTAGTATATAGATGATATACAGAATGTAAATGGGAATGCCTGAAAATGTGAATTATTTGCAGCAAATCTTAGACTGCAAATTGAAGTTGAGGAATTTGGATCTGAAAATTAACATATCAAAGACTAAGAAAAATAGAGTGAACAACTGCAAATAATACATAAATGACAACAAAAACTAGACAATATAGATTAATCAATGTACTAGGTATAAAGTTTACTAAAATGGATGGACAAGTTTTAACATGTGCAAATGCTGGTAGAAAGGTAAAAGATAGTATAGGATCTGTTACAAGGAATAAATGTTGATTGAAAGAAGAGAAATTGGCTATGTATAATGCCCACATTTTTATATGGAACTAAGAACAAGGCACATGAGTAAAAGCAAAGAAATAGAATGTGTTAGGAATGTAATGCTTAAGATGTACATGTAGAAAAATAAAAAAAAGAAATAGGGTCAAAAATTAATGAAGATGATACGCAATTAGTGGGAAGTAGCCAGTCAAACAAAGGAACAGGAAACAATATGTATGTAACAATAGACAAATGTAATATTAGGTATAAAGAATGATTCTGATTGCATGTACTCTATGCAATGCCCTGAAATGATGGTATAGAATTAAAACTTACAAAGAAGAAATGAAGGGGTAAAGATACCAAATAATAATAAAAATCATTCTCAAATTATGCTTTGTGGCAACAAAGAAAGATAAAAATAAAGATTCTGCAAAAAAAACATTCATATTCATTTACTTGAAAGCAGCCGTATTCACTTTCATTCTTCATCCAAATTGGAGGAAATAAATATGTCAAATATTATCCTTGTGGGAGGATTCAGCAAGATCTCACTTTAAAGGCCAATATGCAATTTGAAGGCCCACAATACTGCTTTGAATTACCTGTACTATTGCTACTGTATATCATCTCATGGTTTTAAATAAAAGATCAGAAAAAACTCCAATTTGCAAAGGCAAAAAAAAAAAAAAAATACAGAGATACTTACTAATTGCTCCTGTAAAGGTTGGCTGGGTAAGGTCTTTTGGCACCTTTCTGTAAATATCAAACCTGAAAAACATACCAAAAAAATATATCCACAAACATTATAAAACAGGTGGAACATTTCATGATTCAGAGTCTACAATACCACAGATATTTCTATTAATGGTTCCCATATTATAATTATTCATTTTTCACCACTTTTTTTTTCTCTCGTGTAAGGGAACAACCATATTTTTTAAAAATTCCATCTATGAGAAGAATAAGGGAGAGAGAGAATGGAGAGATGCCATTTTTTCCTTCTGCTTCTCCGCACTCACGCATTAAGCCTAGAAGCAGACCCCTTAATTGTGCTTATTAGTGAGTTAGTTGACTACTATATAAGGTGCAAGAAAAGCCACCAAGAGGTCTCTACCAGCCTGTTATTCATGTGGCCCCATTTCAGATGACCTACAGTATTTCCATTATGAGTTCTTTCAAGCAGACCAGGCTGGGCAAACCTTTTTGTTGGTTTAGTTCATTTCCTTGTCTATCTAGAGCAGTGGTTCTCAACCTGTGGGTCGGGACTCCATTTGGGGTCGAACGACCATTTCACGGGGGTCGCCAAACAACGCAGTCCGCCATTTTTTCCCCTTTTCCTTAGCTGTGCTACTCCCTTTTATTCTATTGGCTTTTGAAAGCCAATAGAATAGACTCTCTTGAATAGAGTCTAATTCTATTGGCTTTCAAAAGCCAATAGGAATTGTCCAGGCTGTCTCTGCCCTGCTGAGCCCGCCAAAAGTCCCATTCTGCAAACGGTGCTGCACCAGTTGAGTAGTCCTCGACTTACGACCGGTTGAGTAGTCCTCGACTTACGACCAGTTGGGGGTCACGGCATTAAAAAGATTGAGAACCACTGATCTAGAGGCTACAGAATAATTTCCATTGATGTGATAATATCACCAGAATTTCAGAGGCATGATTATTGACCATTTGGGAAGATGGGGGAGGGGGACTGGAGAGGAATTAAGGATAAAAAAGGAGCAATTTACTTCCAGAAAGGCCTGCTTGCTTACATTTCAAAACTTTTTTTTAAAATGAACACTTCTCCAAATGGGTTGTTTTGCTGCTGAATACTGAGGATGTGATCTCAGCCAATTTGCAAGTTACCACTTAAGCGCCCCATAAGGCAATGAACCAACCTATTTCTGGGATGTATCCCTGCAGATGAGATTTTACTGGACTGAATATTATTACTTGGTTCATAGAAATCTGAAATGCTGAGGAGAATGTTTCTCCCTAAGAATGCCCACTTTCTATTTCCATAGGGAATCTGTATTGGGGAACATTCAGAAATTCCATTCTCCACTTGAAGTTTGAGGTGGTGGGCCCCAGAAACAGTTGCTTATTAAACAAGGACCCCTAGGAATAAGAAGGCCCCAGTTAATCTCACTAGAGTGTGGAATTAAGGAATAAAAACAAAGTTGAGAACCAATTACAGTATAACAATTATGGATTGCTGTTTGTAAGAATCTCTGGCATATATAGTGCAGTACCTTAAAAAGTTACCATCAAATGTGAAAAACCCCTTTTTCCAAAGCAGTTAAAATCGAAACTACTCATGGGCAAAAAATAAAAATAAAAATAAAAACAGAAAAGGCAACAGATAAGGTTTTTTTTTTAAAAAAATGACAACCAATTTGTTTCAGAAACAATTAAGATAGTGATATTGAAGGGTAAAAGTCTGCTTTTCTTCAATCTCCTCTTTATGTCTCTATTTCTCCTTCTCTATAAATTTCTGGTCTTCCATACACTTATAATATAATTTATATTAGGTTTAAGAGATAATCATTGCAATGGATTACTATCATTTGGTTTTCTATGAACAGGCCAGCATCTTGACTGACTACATGTCTACTGTACAATTCTATAAACTGTGTATGACTCAGATAATTCTTTAATAGTTGACAACCTCCTTTACTTAAAAAAATGAAAAACTAAAAATGTTAAAAATAAGATTTATATTTCTTCATCACGCCAAAATGCTGTGTTGCCTAAATTTAGTCATCAAATCCAAGCCAGCAATCCTACATGACAAAACATGCATATGACAAGAAATAATTATGCCCAGCTACCTATGCAAGGCCTATATGCACGTGAGAAATGAAAAGACAATTTTAGTTACAATATGTAGGACATCATCTTGATGTAACACAAAAAGGTTCTGAAGATTAAGCATGCTGCCTTGAGAATGCTTATGTAAAAAAAAGATCCAGTGCCTTTTAATGCTTATTAATTCGCCTGGAGAAAATATAACTTTCTGCACTTCTGATATGACACATTTCTTTGCCAGGAGATGGGAGGGACATTTGGGGAAGTATTTATGGAAACATATGCATGCAAACCTGGAGTCACCACATGACAAATACATATGAACAAAAGCTTTTGACATTTGACATTATCAAAGCTATATACTGCATTTTGTACAACCTGATTCATCTTTCCTCTCACTGAAAATAATATTCTTCCATAAAATAGCCCATTTATGGGCCTGCAGATTCCCTGGGAACATCTGGAAAGCACTGTTTACATTCTTTCTACACAGACCACGGTAACAGCAACATATGATAAAGAGCTTCATAGCAGCTTATGACATCATGGCCTCATAGGCAGAGGAAATAGCTGAACTTCTTGCTCACAGCCCATTAAAACCTCAACACTGGCGTCTTCTCACTAAAATGACAATAATGCCTTAGTAAACCTGGTGAGGAAGCCAAGAAGAAAAGAGGCGCTTTGGAGTGTAACTAAATTATTGGAAACAGGAAATAGCTCTAGGCTGAAAGCAGTAAAAATAACACCATATGGACACTATAAAAGGAAGCATGTTTTTTGAGCAAGAGACAATCTATTGCAAAAATTTTAAAAATAGTGCTAATGTTTCTGGATTAATAAGTGGTGATTTTAAAAGAAAAAATGTTGTCTTCTTTGGCACATAGTCTCTTCTTCTTGGTATTTTTCACTTTAATAATCTCAGATTTTTATCTGTAGAATGTCACCAGGAAAAACACACTGGATTTTTGGAGTGGGGAATGTATTAATTGTAATGACAGACAGACAGACAGACACAGACACACTTCATTTGTCTGTTTACTTAAAAAACATACATAAAGAAGCCCTGCTAGCTAAACCAAATCTTGCTATTGCTTTTCACTGAAAATCTAGCTAGGCTTTAAGGCATACAAAACTTGTAATTGATAATATTTAGAAGTTAGAATCAGACTTTCAAATTGCGTAATGGGTTAGGGTGGAATGATAAACAATTCATGATATAATAGAAATATTGCATCTCAATGTCTACCGCACGTACATAACTTGTAGCATTTGCATGACAAAATTTTGCATGTGCATCACTTCAGCATCACAACAATATGCACTGGACACTGCTGAACTGTTATAGGAAAAGTCATTGAATAGATTTCAAGTTCAGATATCTTAACATTGTGATCATAAATGATAAAACAGTACCACGGAACTCAGAAGGACTAAGCTAGAGAAACCTGTTTAGTTGGACACACTGTTCAAATGAATGATTGACACACTGCAATATAGATAAATCTTTTTGTGCTTTGGAGCATAGTGAATTTTTTGTCCTTTCTTGATTATCAATTGATATTGCAACTTCATCTGGGACCTTGTTAAATTAAGACCTTTAAATTAAAACTTAAAATTATTCTACACTAAATGTCACCATACTAGACATACTAGACAAAAAAAAGAAACACAAAGTGTTGCTATAAAACATATTTCATTATTAAATTAGCATAAGTTCTGTTTCTCTGTGCTGTGCATCAGTCGAAATGCCAGATCCGTATTGGAATAATTTTAAGATGGCTGGGTGTGCAGAGTTACTGGCACTTCACTTTTCTTTGCAGCAATATGGCTTCATTTATTCTTCAATTATTTTTCTGTGCTGTTATCAGTGTGGCTCAGATACCATTGAAGACACTAGATTTTTGTGAGAGAAAAAATACAGAAATATGAGCTAAAGCACATATCCTTAGTAGAGGTTGCCTTCTTGTTGCTCTAGCCTTGCATTTCACATTTAAGGCGCTATCAAAACTAGAATCCTACATCTGTGTGGTCTGATCATATTGGAAGTAGATCATCCCTACAGGCACAATAGAACCATCTTTGAAAGTTGACTATTGTATCACTATATGCATTATTATTATCCCGGGTTTCCCTTTTTTGTTTGGAAAAGAAAAGCATAGACAAAATGAATTAAATTCCTCCAAGAACAAATAAATCCTATAATTAATATTCTGTAAAATGCTATAGCCGGCAGTGAGTGTGCCAGCCATTCCCCGTTTTTAGTCATCCATCTCCTTACAGTGTTATAGCCAGAATTCTATTTAAAATGTAGAAAATAAATGTTACAAAAAGAAGATAAAACTAAACAATAATAGCTAAATAATCAATATGACAGGCTTTCTGAACAATTTTTAAAAATTATAATTATTCAAGGAGACTGAATCTTATTGGTTAGCTAACAATATCTGTACATAAAATAAATCTCAGATCTACTATTGAATTAATTTCATCTCTAATTAGTAAGATTCCATGCCAAATAAGCATATTCAGTCCGCCATAAACAATATGAAATTGGCCTACAGTAATGTCTATTGCCTTTGATTTATACAAAGTACTGTATTGGGGGAAATGCATAAAAATGCTGCATTATGAATAATCACAAAGAAAATACTGTGTATTACTAAGTCTATTCACAAAAGAAGTATGAACTAAGGCTAGCTGTATTTGGTATTATATATTGAGAAAAACTGGATTAATCAACAAATGAAGAGCTTTTTAAATAATCTGCAAAAAAATGACATAATGAAAGAAACAAAATCCAGCTGTACTGATTTTGGCTGGATTTAAACAGAATGGGATAATTTTAGTTCATCAAGCTTGCTTATACTTTGCTGTTATACATAGATGGTGCCATTGTAGCAGAGCAAGATTCATACTCAGAAAATTATTTGTTTTCATGTGCCAATAGTGGCAAGTGGAGATAATGAAGAATGCCTCAC